AAGCAATAGAGGGCTGCTTGATTCATTAGAATTTTTCAAAGAAGACATATTTTATAGCCTAAATCATTAATGTTATCTCGTTCAGTCACTTGATCACAGTAAAGGCAAGAAGGCATCAAGCCTGTTTCTTGATTTCCTTATCTCTGCTCATTAAAAACTCAGTTAGTGCTCATACAGTCCCTGCTGGGCTATGCAGCCAAGGCCTGGCAGCTGCAATCCAATCTTAGCTCTAGTCTGACCATTCTGCCATATCAAGCAAGTGTCTTTACCACCGCATGCTCTGAGAAGTTAAGATAGCAAATACCCATCAACATCGTGCTTTAACTCTAACATCCTGAGTGACACCAAGGTGTGACAGCATCGCCTTGGCTTTGAGGAATTAAAATCTAGCCAGTGATGATCAGAAGGTAGGATATTTCGCACATCTGTGTGATTGATATTTTTTTCACAAAAGATATTATTTGTAGCATAAAAACCACTTGTTTCTTTTTTTTTTGCAAAGTTTAATAAAGCCATGATTATTTTCAGCTGTCTTCTCCTGTCCACATCACATGCACAGTTAGATAATGTCATGAGCTTACTGACAGAATTGAGCCAGCTTAAAGTCAATAGAAAACCATGGCTTTGGGTAACTGACAGTAACACTTCCCACCTTTAGGGCTAGGCCTCCTCATTGGAAGAAAAGTCAGCCAAGATCATCTCTTGAAGTTTTGAGCAATTATGAGACGACTTTCAAGGGAAAAGACGCATCAAAGCAGCCTACTATAGTTTTTAAACTGCCTTTGCTTCCTTAAAATTTCTCTCTCTAACCAAACTTCCTCCATTCCCTATTCCCCCAGATCTTGGAAAATAAAAATAAATATTATTTTCCTTTGAAAAGTGAGATAGACTGGAATATAGGATACCAGTGTTCCCTGTGAAACCGGGGCCCTGCTGTGGGCGTGGCAGCAGCCAACAGGAGTAAGCGCCCTACCCTGGGCACCTTTTCTCAGCCTGAGATTGGGGATGTTCAGTCTTATCAATGGGAGCATTTTGCAGAAAGCACTTCCCCGAACCTCCAGTAGCCGCACATTTGGTATCCTCACTAAACACCACATTAAGTGCCAAAAGCAATCACTTAATCACGTAATCGTATGACAAAAACCGAAACTCCACAATCAGCCCACTTCCACCAGGGCCTCGTTTACAGACATGTCTTTTGGAGGCATCACCTCTTTTGGGGAAACCAAAAGCTCAATTTGCAACTTTGCCTTAGAAAAGTGCTTCAGAAACCTGTTAACATATCTTTGCCAACCACAAAGGTTATGCACAAACCTTTTTCAACAGAGAGGGTGAGAAAATTCACTGTACTCACAGGAGTGTGTTAATCGCAGTTTCTCAACTGGGGCTCTTTGTCTCTGCATTGTCTGGGGTAACTGAAATCCAAATATGTTTCCTCAGCTCACTCATTCAATAATCGACTGGATTAACTCTGCAAATACCAGCCCTTCCAAACCTACTTTTTAACCTGTACCTGTGCAATAGAATAATATTGATTCTGAAAAAATAAATTTGGTATGGTTATGCTCATTGGGTATATGCAAGATTCTAGCACTTTATAAATTTTATCCATTCTATAGCTAAGGAAACAATTATTTGCATCCCATTATACTGATTTCAAAACTGATACATAGCTAACTTGACCAATGTCATAAATGGAGAAGCGGAAGGGACATGGATGAAATTTTTAGTTCATGAGACTGAAGAAGTCAAAGTCATGGATGCTCCATGGCCTTGGTTTACGGGCCTGGTGCTTTTTCTTTTCACTTGCTTTCAAGTAACAGAAAAGTTAACGGAAGCCTCTAACTTACGAAGCAGGCTGTCAGGAGTGACAGTGAAAACAATTATTGTACACTGTGTTCTGCCAGAAATGCTATTTTTCATTATTGCTGGGACCACTCTCAGCAGGAAACCTCATTAGCTGCAGAAAATGTCCCCTGTTGTTCCAGGGAAGACGGATCAGATGGAGCAGCCTAAAAACAAATTCTAGAAAATGGTTCTTTCTTCCCCTTGTTTATGGGATGGAAGAGTAATTCTCCTCTCTGATCCTCAGCCTCCGAAGTGATGGTTTACTGCGGAAGGTGCACAAGTGTTTTGAAAAAGGATGGAAAAGTTTCACAGGTTGCTTTCTAAAACTCTTCATCAGTGTTCCACTGTAGCAGAGGAAACTGAGCTGTTGGACCATTGATGAACACAGAGACTGCATGGGAAACAACTGACTAGATTGGTCCAAAATGGCTTTGAGCAATAACTGTAATGTTTTATTTTGCACATGGAATTTTATTTTGATATCACTTTTGATCTACCATGAATATAGACTCTCCATCAGACATATTGATACAAATATTGGTAGGTTATCATTAGGCCACACCATTTAGTTTTTCTTACAATCCATTTGTAAAATAAAATTGAAAGGTTATCAGGCCCATAATATCTGGCCTAGCCTCCTGACCCCATCTCCTCACTTCCTCATCCTGCTCACTTCCCTTTTAACACTGTTTTCATTAGAAATTCTCAAAAGGTTCATGGAGAATGCATACTGTAAAACAAAATGCCCATCATTTCAAAACCTTTTTGCATCAAAATATGCATTTTAATTTGAAATGTCCTCATGCGTGAGGAGTCTGGCACTGTTTGTGCTCAATCATAGGACAGAAGTATCTCTTGATTTCACTTGGCTGATGCCTTCTCATGATTGAAACTGCAACTCAGATTTCTATCTCAACTAAAAAGTGGTTGTCTAATTGTCTTCAATGGACATGCCTCTATTCCCAGTCACACTGCATTCCTCCTTTGTAAAAGGACTTTTCAGTATTTAAAATTAGCTTTTGTTTACTTGGTTATTTTCTGTTAAACTAGGATGTAAATTGCATGAAACCAGCAAAGAATATATATGGCTTAGTGTAGGAGAGTTCAACAATATTAGGTAAATATATAAATGAATGAATTCTAAATCCTGTTCCTTCAAATACACATAAATCTCAATGATATACCAACAGGCATAGAAAGATTTATTGAGTGTCCAAATCTACATAAATATGGAAAAGTTGAAGTTAAAACCAAAACTATGCCATTCCTTTCTTGACTCTCAGTTTTGCTTGATAAGAATTGAAAATCTGTTAAGAAGTAAAGACATAAACTAGGAAAGAATCTGAACTTCTTACAGGAATAGACTTCAGGCCATGGTAGATCTCCCCAGAGAGTCACGTCTCCTTGCATCGAAAGACCATGCTGATTCTGACCAAAATGGTAGTCTGAATATTAGAACATTTCCAGTAGCCTGCTTTTACTCATCTGCTTGCCCTGAGCCATGCAAATAATAACAGTAGCTTGTTGACATTTCTCTGTTAGTATTATCACTTCCAGAAGGATTGCTGTGCTATCTGGCCTCAACAACTACCAGTGAACTTGCTTTGTCACAAGCCTTCAGATATTTATAAAGCCTGTGTATGTCCCAGATGTCCTTTCATTGAGTTCACAGAATACAAATGGAAAAAGGTTATTACTGCAGAGGGATGTTTAAAAATGAAAATCAAACCTAATACATGGACTCAGACAACTAGAATAAGGAATATAATATTTATAAAACGAAGTAGGAGGTTGCAATCATTGCTCTAAAAGAAAGCATTAAAATTTAATTCAGAGCAAACCTGTCTGTGCTACAGCAAACTTCTCTTTCATTAAAGTAGCCTTACATGTTTCTCCAGAATTAGTTCCTTCAAATAGGTAAATAGCTTGTAAGGACCGAGCGTTCTGCAAACTACAGAGGAGCTACCTGAGGCACGATTCAAAGTCTGAAAGCTTTACAGACTTTTCATTTGGAACCAATTAATTGCAATTCCTGCAGTTTCCCTATTTTTTTTTTCTCCTGAGTATTACTAGGAAGGTTCAATTCACATGCTTCCTATGCACTGTCATTTGATTAATCCAAATGTCACTATAGTATTTGATTAATTCATAGGCTTTGAAATATTAAATCTTAGGGAACTCTTGGTGCCAGTTAGAAGTTCAGATGTAAAATTTTTCCATAGATGCACATCGTTACACATTTTTGCTTATTATCTTTCTTCATTTTGCATTATTACAGTTAGTCTTATGTTGTTGGTAGTAGTAAAAAGAATTGCTTCCTACTTCAGAATGCACTATATGAAAAGAAAAGTTTACAGTGTTACTTCTTCATTTTCAGTTTGGAAGAATTTATTCTTTCACCCACTGTATGCCAATCCTCTGAAGCTTTAAATAAATAACCCTACAACCTCTAGGTTCTATTGATTGATTTCAAATTTTAAAAAATCCAGTTTCTATGACATGCAGAAACCGTTCAGTCCCTCAGCAGTATCGGATGGATCCATTAAACCAAAGGGATCATAGATAAAAATAAATAAATAAACAAACAAATAAATAACAAGAACATCTGAAAAGCAGGTTTGCAACAGAGGGGAGAGATGATGGCAAACCAACTCAGTAAATGGGAATTTCGCCTTTGACCAATGAAGACAGGTCTTCTTTAGTCCTGCTAGACCCAGAGCAAGCTGTTATGATTAAATAAAAATGGGGGGAAAAGTGTTTAGAGCCTTCCTGAATATGTCCTGGATATTAAAGCATATGGCAGGGATAAGGAAAAAAGACTTTCCTTATGCTAATGACCCTTGATGTCTGAAATAAATTAGATCCATTAGAGTTTATGCTCAATAAAAGAAAGACTTTAAGCACGCCGAAGTTAGTGACTCGAGACCAGTTTTTGCTCTGAAATTCAATCTGCCTGCTTATTAATTCTCAGTGAGGCTCCAGAGCAGACAGGAGATGCAAAATCATAATTCTGTGCTGAACCAGAATTTGAAAGGACTACAGGTTTCTTTTCCTTTTCTTTTAATTAAACCATTTCTCATGCTTCCCATTTTGTTTCCCTCATTAATTTGATTTTGTTCCCATTTTTGTTCCATTTTCTTTTTCTTTTCAAGGTTTCATTTATCCTATTTCAACTGAACAGAGAACCCAGAATGAATATGGATTTTCTTGTAAGTTTGATGTTTGAATTTTATGTTGCTGAATAATCATTTAATGTTATTGCCCCTGGTTCAAGTTTACTCTTCTTTGGATCACAGATGTGCACACAGGAAGCAGAAGCCTAATATATTCGAACATGAAAAGCAAATTAGATTTTCCTGTTGAAAAGAAGAAAGGGTCATTTCACATCTCTGCCAGCTTTAAAATCTATCAGTCTGATATTCAAAGTTTGAGTCCTGGTAGTTGACAAAACTTTCTCATGAAAGATGATGATATAAATAAAGGGCAGAGTTCAAATATTAAAAAGGAAAGGGTTGAGGAAATGCAGATCCACTGCAGGAGAAAGCACGAATGTTGAATAAGTAATTATGACCTAGTAAAGTAAAACATTAAAGACTGAAATATTATATTCTGACTAGAGTTCTCAATCCTGCTGAAAAGGCCTAAAATAAAACAAAGCAATGAAAGTGAATTCAGCACTTTGAACACAGCACTTGTGCAACCAAAAGTATTTGGGATGTCACTGTTTTTTTTGCGTGTACGTGAACAGCAATAAAATTTCCATAGTTGACTTGACTGATGAAAAAGAGGATATTCTAGAATCATTTGGGAGAACAATATTTTAAGGAAAAGAAAATGAAACTCACAGTCTGTTAAAATATAAACAACTTTCTAGTAGGGAACTCATTTATCCTACCAGTGGATGAAAATAGCAAACTGAAGAGCATGGGTTATCAAACGAGCCACTGGCAAATGAAGAACATTATCGCTTTTTATAAACCATGTGACTTTGTACCTTAGGAGATAGCAGTCGTTCTTCAAATTTTAGGGGGCCATGAAACCTACAGATTTGAAAATCCTCTTCTTCTACAAATATTCAGGTATATAAACTTAACTAACATTTGAGATTGTTCTTGATTATGTGAAGTGACAACTCCAGCACCTCTTGGATGGGGAATAGAGAAGGTTTGGTTAACCTCGCTGAACATTTTCTATAGGTCACAGGAAGCTCAAAGACATAAAGATGAAAAGGGGTCCAGCTAAGGGTTAGCTTTGTTGTACTTATCAGCTTCTATCACATTTTCTACCTGGATCACGTTCTATGCCACCAAGGTAACCTGTAGCTTTTCCAGGATTGCTGTTCCTGTTTTATACCAACACCAGCTCCAAGGAAACGACATGTTGTTTTGGTCAAGCATTTACTTGCCCTCTAGGGTAATCTGACCTTTCTGATCACTAAGCCAGAACTTTACCTCACGTAGCAAAGCTATGCTTTATTCCAATAATAAGTAGCCCAAATGTGAATCTCACAAGGGATCCCGAAAAGCTTTGGTTCTCAGAGATAACATTGCATCTCCATCAATATTGTGAACTGGGGGAAAGTTATCAGCATTAACCTCTGCTCCCCATATCTGGGCTTCTGAAAACACACCTTCCAGACCCCACCATTTCTGGTCCTTATGTTTGCTTTCACTTAATTACATGGTTCCTACCTACCGCCTCCATTGACTGAGGAAAAATCAGGAGTGCTATGGAAAGTCAGTTCATGATCTGGAATGATTAGTTGCTAAAATATTCTGGTTCAGTAAATACAGAGGTTCAAAACACACCCAATGTTTCTACCAGGGTACTTATGTTTTAAAAGAACTACATCAGTGCATTGCAAAACTCTTATAAACTTTTCCATCCAAAATATGCAATAAACTTTTTTCCCATGTGGTTTGGGTTGGCTTTAACCTCAGTTTCTTTAGCTGCATAATAATAAATGGTCTGTTATGCTGCACAATGATAAGATAGATTAGTGGGTGGATAGATGCACCGTTAGAAAGGAAAAGAAATCAGAGATAATTTTCCACTGAAAGGCCACAGTCATTTTATATAGCTTTTGAAATAGATTTGAAATTAACCTATAAAAAAGGCAATAAATGTCAGCAAAAATTATAGTAATACATATGTACACTGTGGGCACTTTCTATAAGCAGTTGTTCTAATGGTGCTTGCCTTTCCTGCAGCCGCCCCTGACTCAGATGATGTTGCTCTCTATGTTGGGATTGTGATCGCCGTGATTGTTTGCCTTGCCATCTCCGTAGTTGTGGCCCTATTTGTATATCGAAAGAATCACCGTGACTTTGAATCTGATATTATTGACTCATCAGCACTCAATGGAGGATTTCAGCCTGTGAACATTAAGGCAGCAAGACAAGGTCAGTTGGTGTTGCACGTCACGCTGTCACTCATGAAACTAAGCAGTGTCCCTCTATGGTTACAAGATCAGTAACAGTTGGGTCAGCTGAGTTAGCTGGCTGTGATTTTCATCAATTTAGTTCATCATGGAATTAATGTCCCTCATATAACCAATTAAGAGTTGACAAAGTGCACAAATCATCCTTGCTATCTTTTCTGACAGGTTGCTCTATCATATCTTTTAGCTTCTGTCTGAAGAAAGGACTGATTGAGTTTCTGTCTCCTTTTTCCCCACTATAATAAGACCTCTTGTGTTAGTGCCAACACAGTGGCTCATAGACACAGTATCAACAAAGGAAACACATACTGAACAGTAGCCTCATGGAAATCATTGTTCAACTCCATTTATTAAAAGGTTAAGCACCTTGAGTATAATGAATAGACTTCAAAGGAAAATGCAGAAAGAGCTTGGCGACTTATTTCTACTCAATAAAAAATTGATGTGAGTTTTCTGATTGCCCAGACTCCATCAGTGAGTTAGAATTGTACCTCTTCAGTATTAACTGAACTGTGTGCTTTGGGCTCAGGGAATGTGAGGATGCAAATGGGACTCTCTTTTCTTCCCATTACAGATCTTCTGGCGGTGCCTCCAGACCTCACTTCAGCTGCAGCCATGTACAGGGGCCCCGTCTATGCCCTACACGATGTCTCAGACAAAATCCCAATGACCAATTCTCCCATTCTGGATCCACTGCCCAACCTGAAAATCAAAGTGTTTAACACGTCAGGTACTGTCACTCCCCAGGATGACCTGTCTGAGTTTACATCCAAGCTGTCCCCCCAGATGACCCAATCCTTGCTGGAGAATGAGGCTCTCACCCTGAAGAACCAGAGTCTGGCAAGGCAGACGGATCCGTCTTGTACTGCGTTCGGCACCTTCAACTCCCTCGGCGGCCACCTCATTGTTCCCAACTCAGGTAATGCATGACAGTTTAAACTTCCAACATGTCATTTCAACATATACTTTTTGGGTACCCAGATCCTTTTTTTTTTCTTTTTTTTTTTCATTTGTCTTGATTAGACCTGAGAGGTTAAAATTGGCATTGTGAACCTTCCTTACGCATGAACTCTGTAGTGGTGAACTCAAGTTATCCTACCTAAATCAAATCTCTTTTCGATTTAAGTGAAACGTTACATCAGACCAACTCAGCAAAGCCATTTGTCTTCCCCCAGCCTGCTGTGAAAATACTTCCTCTAGAAATATTTCACTTACAACTTTTTTGCTGAGCTGTGATTTCAAACTGTCATGGACCATCTTCTTAATAGAATTTTAGAAGGCAGTATCAAGACAGAGGTCTTCCCTGCTGTCGTTATACTTTAAAAGGGACAGTTAATTAGAAAATAAGTCAGTTCAGTTCTGATTTGTTACAGGAAGCAACTTCAGAATTTTTAGGTGATCAGAGAATAATATATCAGACATGAATCTTTATTTTATTAACTCTTTCATATACACTGTGGGATCACAGGATGTTTATATGGCGCTACCATCAAGCTCTGATTTCTCCCTCTGGACTCTAACATTTATCAGGGAACTGTAGCATTATTTTTTTTTCAGCTTGTTTCATGGAATGCCAGCACCAATAAAACAAGCTTTATGAAAGTTCTGCAAAGGTGAACCTGAGTTAATATCGAAAGATTGGTATTCATTAATGAATACAGCAATGGTTTTGGAACCATGAACACAAGAGGCTTAATAATCTCCTTTCTGCATCTTCTTTAATTCTTTTAGACAAGATTGTAGGTTTGGGGGTATGATAGTAAAAAGCATCTTCATTGGCCCAAAGTGTTAATAATTGTTATCTTAAAAAAGAAAGTTAAGTGATACAATGAGTAGTGTATCACCAAGCTTGATCACAAAATTGTCCTTGATTAGTCCGCTGATTTAGTCTCCCATTTCAGTGCCCTGGTAACTTTCCCCCCACATACCTTTAAAAGGATATTTTGATAAAATTGAAGTGTTGAATAGAACATCACTTAATTTTTTCAACATATGCATAGTTTTATGATTTGCGTTATACTTTCTTGCATTTCCAATGGATTGCATACTCAGGGAAACCATAAGTCCATCAAATGAATGCATCCAAACACACCCTATTCTCCCATTGTTTAAACTTTGTGGATTATTAAGTTCTTTTCTTCTAGGATATTCATTAGATTATACTTTTCCTTGCCATTTCTATACCTTCCACCTTTAATATGTAAGTCATTATAAAGTCTTGCTAAATAAAAGTGAGTGAATGAGTATATTTGAAATACTTCATGTGAACCAAAAAATGATGCTCAGCATACATTGTATTATTAATGATAGTGTTCATTTAACAAAGTAACAATAGTTATTTAACAGAATAACAAGAGTTAAGCAATAGATGTTAGGCCATGTTCTGTTTATTATAGCTATGTGGGTTTTCTTCTTCTTCTTCTCCAAAACATGACACTGTAGTCTATGGTTTCAATGGATTGAACAGATGAAAATACAGAGTCTTAGTAGCCTTGTGTGTAGTCTTCTCGCTGCCACTCTGCCCCTCACAAAGCATCCCACTCATCATCATGGCATTGCACTTCCCACCACACATGGCTCTCAAGTTACCTTCCTTCTGGGGGTGGGGGAAGAGGGAAGGCTATCACATTGCACCACCTTCATTTGCCATATCCGGTTTCCTTGCTGCTTGAAGGCTGGGTTACTCAAAGACAACAACACTATCTTTTACTTCCTGGCATTCACAACCATGCCAAACCCTATAATCACAAAAAAATGCTCCATAAATTTTTTTATTGAACTCAACTAAACTACATTTCATGAGAGTGACATGCTGGAACTTAACATTTTCAGAGTTTTGTTCATCCTGCACTGCTCTCCGGGAAGATGACTAGTATAGGCTAGTAGTTCCTACGGATCAAGCTCAGACAACCATCATGGGCATCGCCTCGCCAGTTGCTTGCACTGCACTGTGTCTAGTCCCGCACTAGAGTCAGAAAGTCCTGGAGTAGCGTCCTGTCATTCGTGTTTTAACAAACATTCCAGTGGTCCCAATGCAACCTCAGATCTTCAAACCCCTCCATGGAGCACAATCACCCTAGAAAACAACTCAAGAAAGTAGCGTCAATGACCTACCCTGCAGGACACAGTGACCTGCTGTGATTGAACTGCCAGTTGCTCTTTACCTCCTGGAGTTAAACAGAATTTTAAGAAGTTCTTTAGCAGATCATATTCTTCTGTGGAATAATATTGAAGCTAACCAGATTACCCAGAAAGAAATGGATGGTTTAAAAAAAAAAAAACTATAGTTTTAGCAATTCTCTGATTTTGAATCCTTTCAGAACTTTTTTTTTTAACTTAGAAATGATGCATCATTACAGCTGCTTGAAATTTTAATGTCAGTTGTTGGTTTTCCCCTTACTTTACAAGTAGAACAACAGTGAAACCATCTGTCTATTCTTTAAATGAAACAAGAGCTAAAAAAAATTACATCATCCCTTTAAGTAATTCCATAGCAGTTCAGAGGGAGCTGTGATAAGAAATGAGGCCACTAACGAAGGAAAGCAGAACACTACAAATCTGTCCAGATCTTCAGAGAAAAGGGGGTGAGGCCTGTGGTTGCAAGGTCACAAAACCTCCCCACTTTCTTTGACTGGCTGTGGGGCATGCTAAGAAAGTTCCCTTTGATTCAGGGATCTTACTGCCTGCTTTTTCTCTTTTGCTATTCAGGAGTCAGCTTGCTGATTCCCGCTGGGGCCATCCCCCAAGGGAGAGTCTACGAAATGTACGTGACTGTACACAGGAAAGAAAATATGAGGTAAATATGCTTTTTTTCTGGCACAGTTGATTTTACAATATCTAACTGGGGAAAAACTGTACAATCGGAACCACACACATAGCATGCTTTTGTCCTGAGTGCCCTACTTCTTGTATCTACTGTTGTGTTATTGTTCCCTAGACCTACACAAGGCCAAGTTCGGCTGCTCTTCATGCGTGATGGATGCTCCAGGCACTTTGGGGGACATTGAGTATGGGTGGAAGGCCAGCGATCTTTTGCCTAAGTAGATAGGTGAACATAGGAGCAATGACATGGTTGGATCTGTGAGCCAGAGATGGCCCGTAGAGGCAAGAACAGACACAGAGATGTCAACTTGAGTGGCCTGACCCAGAATCCAACCTGTTTTCATTATGGGGTTAAACGCTACAAATGTTTGGATAGCCCTTCACCCACAGAGCTGCTCTTCCCACCTCAACCAAGCCTTTCTTTCTTATCATGCTTTCTTCTGGCTTCAGCGTTTCAAACTATCTCTGTTTCACTCTTAAAAGCAGACTGAGGTCTTCTAAAATGGGCCTAGGCCTGACTAAAACTACCTCAAGACCCAGAAGCTGCATGCACTGTGTCATATCATAATCAGGTTATTTCAAGTAAAAATAACAAGCAGAGTTTAGAAATCCTAAATTCAAGTTTCAATTGGCCTCTAACAAGTTGTAAAGGGCCTTCTTGGCCCGTTGAAGTGTGTGTGTATGTCTGTGTGTGTGTGTGTGTGTGTGTGTGTGTGTATATTGTGCTCCAGACCCCTGAATTATACTCTGTGAACAAAAAGATTTTAAAATAAGAGATGCTATCTCAGTGGAGATCGTCATTGTGGAATTTCGAATGTCTTTCCCGAAGGGAGGCAGATGAGCATGCCAGCCCGGGCCTCTGTATTCAGCACACGTGACAGAGGCAGAGGCGGACTGTCGTTCTCATGTATTCTGTCTTTTCTCCCCTCCTCTCTTCATTAGAAGAACATCAATTTTCAGTCTTGATCTTCAGTAGCCAAAAAGCTTTCATTGTGCTCCCAGGAGGCAATGTTGGTATTTTTACTCAGTATGACCCAGAAACTTTTTTTTCTCAGGTGGTATACTTTAGCCTACACAGCCACGAGCCTGTCTAGGAAAATAAAATTTCTGGAACATTATTCATGCTTTCAGAGTGAGCTACAGAGAATCACTACAGGTCTTGTATTTACCCACATCAAATATTCATTTTTTTCCTATTCCCAATGCAAAGCAACCTTCAAAGGCCCACAAAGCTTCTGTCCTATGCAGGAGAAAAACAGCAAACTCCAAGATCATTTTATAATTTTATTTTTCTTGCTCTTGTCCAGAGCAAGAAGGTTGGCATTACATGCATCCATCCATCAAGACGTTTGCAAACATGGACATTTAAGGTAAACAGACCCAAGTGTTGGCTGTTATAGGTAGAGGGGCTGTAATGTGGCCCCGACTCTTATTGGAGTTTTGAATGAGTTCATGGAGAATGTGCTTTGTGAAAAGAACGTATGCCCAGATTTCAATTTTTACTTGGCACCATAAATGAACTGATCTGTATTTTATTTTGCACAAACATTTTGAAGACCTCTCTTTTCCAACTTATAACCATTATCTTAAACAAACTTCAAGCCTCAAGTGGTGGCTAGTGAAAGTCTAGCTTGGAAGAGTGTGCACTCCCTGTCTTTCTCCATTTTTCTCTCACCTGGTCATACTGGTACCCCACTCAGGATTTTTGAGTAATTCAGATGAAAGAGAGCTAAGACAGAAAACTGACAACTGATCAAGCCGGACCCTCTGCTGCAAAGTATCTCTGCCTCTGAGTGTGAAGATTGTAAACCACAGACCATCCCATGCTGTGTTTATCTGCACAAGTTAAAGGCAGAGAGGATGACTGCTGAAATGGATATGCATCAAAGAAATTCTGTTTATGAAAATGAAGTCAGAAAACCTCAAGATCCCAAAAGAAAATTTGTACCAGAGACCATGAAACAAGAAAGCAACTCAATAAAATAACCAATTTTTCACCAAGATGGCACTGAAGGTGAAGAAGGAAGCTCTTGCCCCTCCCAAAGCCAACGCCAAAGGGAAGGCCCTGAAGGCCAAGAAGGTGATACAGTTCGCTGTCCACAACCACAGGAAGAAGATCCACATGTCACCCAACTCCTGGTGGCCCAAGACACAGGACCTGTGGCAGTAACCCAAATACGCTCGGAAGGGCACTCCCCAGGAGAAACAAGCTTGATCACTATGCAGTCATCAAGTTGCACCTGACCACAGAGGCCAATATGAAGATCATAGAAGATAACGACACACTCAGGTTCATTGTGGATGTCCAGGCCAACAAGCACCAGATCAAACAAGCTGTGCAGAAGCTCTATGACATTGATGTAGCCAAAGTCAGTACGCTGAGCAGACCTGACGAAGAAGAGAAGGCCTCCATGCATCTGGTCCTAATTAGGATGCTCTGGATGTCATCAAAAAATTGGGATCATCTAAACGGCATCCAGCTTTCTAAGTCTATGTTTTTCATCTTAAAAAAATAACGAAATCAAATGCAAGAGAAATTTTCCCATTGCTTCTCTGTTGTGAACTACCTGTGTGTTTGTAAAACACCAGGGCAAGAAAGTGCCTTGGAAGGTAGCAATAGTGTAAAAGCATTGAAGCTGTTCACTCTGCATGTCATTGATTGCTCACCATGGCACCACAAGTTAAGACTGAATTCCACATTGAAGAAGAAAATCAGGCTCACGATAATGAAGTCAAACAGTCAAGACTCCACAGTTCATAACCAAGGGAGGCAGAATTCAAACAAGGATTGATCTGACCCATAAACCTTCTGCTTTCTAATGTACCTGCTCTCCTCTGCGGCTCCGATACTCAACCGCACACAGCCCCAGCTTTCTCACTGCACTTCATTTCCTGTCGCTCACTTATAGACCCTTTCTGTCTTCACACGATCTGAGATGGGTCTTCTTTGGGAGATGGCAGCGGGTAGATGTGGATGTCATTTCAAAGCAGGCATAGGACACTTCTGAGCATCCCCCACCCCCATTTTCCTTCTCTCCTATCCCTTTTATCACATGCAAACCCGCCTTGTGTTTCCAGCTGGATGCCAGCCAGCTGGTCATCTGCTGATGGGAGTTGTCAGAAGGGAGGCGTGAACTTAATTACATGTGGCACAGTGGATGTGACAAGAGGAGTCTTCTTGCTGAATAGGCTCCAAACAGAAGGCGTAAAGTGGCAAGTGAGTAGCCTGATCAGGCTGCAAAGGCAAAAGCAGATAACTCCAGCCAAGGAGGGTACAGAAGCTGCATGAGGCTCTCTCTCCCCTTGTGCAGTTCACAGGAGACATTGCAGCCCCCCTCTGTGCACACATAAGCCACAGCTCCTGCTGCTCGTGTGGGCTTTTTGCCTTATTTCTAGTAGCAGCTTTTTTTTCTTACAGAGAAGTCATCTAAAGAGGTGAAAGTTAGCTTTTGCATTTCTTGATATTTTGCATTTGTCTGGCAGTTGTATCAGAAAGAGTAATGTATGAGAAAAGAGTAAGGGACAAGGACCACTTTTGGTAAGCTCTAGGGAGCTGGAGAAGGTTTCTGAACAGCACAGTGGCCCACGTGGAGCAGTGCCTTGGAAAGGTGCGTCTGGTGGATGTATAGGATGCATTGGCCAATGTATCAGAATTTTCTCCCTAAAGCCTAGTGTTGGATTGGGTAATGGTAGCAATCCAAAGAATGAGAAAGGGAAGAGGAGTAATGAATCAGGTCCTAGTCAGAGGATACAACACAAAAGACACTTTAGAAGGAATCACATTTTACAGCTGGCCAGAAGTATTGCAAAGCAGTGGTAAGACTCATCTGATTGTTTCAGACAGCAAGCCTTTGATGAGTGGCAACTGTCAGAGCATCTGGAGAGCTCAGAGGCAGCAGCCATTGCCCTGAAGGACAGCATAGATCCCCAAAATGAAATGGAACCTGAAAGGGGCAGGTAGATAAGTCAACAGGCTGCACTGGCATGGTGCTCAACACACCTAGTGGAGCTCCCCAGTCGATGTGTCTTTGAGTGATGGGATGAGTGTTCGTAAGGGTGAAGAAACCAGGGGCCTCAAAACCAAAGACAAAGAGAAATTGCAGGTAGAGGATGTGATGAACAGAACTGAAGTTAAAGCTGAATCTTGACAATGGCACTGTGATTTTGATGCCACGTGGTATCGCCACATCCCATTTCCAAGTGCCTGGGTTTGAGCTCCAGTTCTATTTATATGCCAATATGTGCCCTGTGAGGTGGTGGATGACATGTTTGCTCCTGCCACCACGTGGGGAGACTCAAAGAAGATTCCTGGATTGTGACTTTGGTCTGGCCTGGCTTTTGCTATTGTAGACATTTAAAAAAGATTCTGTCTTGCTCTCTCTTTCACTCTTGCACTTTGTCTTCTTCAAATGTATTCAAAAACTGAGATGTAAGTAACTAGAAAGAATGATTTTTTAAAGCGCTGAATTTATCAACTGGAAAGCATTGGAGACATTTAGGATGTTTATCATTGGTGAAATCACGGTAGACATGGACTAAAGGAGGAGTGGTGAGGAAACAAAGGTTGCTGCACACATGAATATCTGTGAGCTATCGTCCAGGAATGTGATACGATAAGCCAAAGAACAACATTCACTTAGGCACCCAGGAGAAAGTTTGCTTTTATTTATTTTTTAGGTGTATTTATTTTACTAGAAAGAGTTACAGAGAGACAGAGAGAAGGACAGAGAGATCTTCCATCTGCTGGTTTATCCCCCAAATGACCATAACAGCCAGAGCTGGACTAGTCTGTGGCCAGGAGCCAAGGGCTTCCTCCAGTTCCCCAGTGTGAGGACAGAGGTACAAGCCCTCGAACCCTCTTCCACTACTTTATCAGGCCACAAGCAAGGAGCTGCATCGGAAGTGGAATAGCCGAGATTCAAACCAGTACCTATGTGAGATGCCTGTGCCAAAGGCGGAGGATTACTTTACTAA